TCAGGCATGGCGGGCTCTGCTTCCCTCCCTCTGTCTGGACCGACCACCTGCCTGCCCACCTGCCTTCCTCCCCGGCCGGCGCAGCCGTGCATCACTCACTCAACGCCGCCACCGCCGGCTCCTTCCTGGCCCAACTGAAGTGCACCCGGCGTATAAGACGACCTCCCCACTTGGGGGGCATGTTTTTTGGGCCAAAAAAGTCATCTTATACGCCGGCAAATATGGTAACTCTACCCTTCTGATGAACACAAGAATAAGAAAATTCAGTGGTTATCAGAAAAGGTTACATGTGTACCACCCAGATTAATAGATATATAAAGCTCTGATTGTTTTGCTGCCTTTCTAAAGAGCTGCAGGAAGATTCAGATTATGAATGTGTTTCATCAAATCATTGGAATAAACACTGCAATTCTAGCAAAAAAGTGACTGGGTGATAAGGAATATATACATAAAACACACTAGCCATTTTTAAAAAAAATAACAAGTAATGGATCAAGCAACAAACAGGAAGTTACCCTCGCAAATTTGAAATGTTAACAGCAATGAATTACTTTAGGAAGGGTGTGACAAGTTATATAACAAAGTCATTTAAAAAAGTTCTGAAAACAGCAGCTCTATATGAACCCATTTATACATATTTTTTCAATATCAGTCAGGACACATGGATAAACCCTGCTTACATGCTAAATGACAGTGAATTAAATGAGGCTACAGTGTTGGTTTTTCTTCTATTATTGCATCACTTCTTAACTTTCTTACACAGTAGCTCCAGGAAAAACACAGTGCACTCTGCCATTATGCCTTGGGATACGAACAGTCTGTTAGGGAACTTAACCTTTGTTCCCTTACTGGCACCCAACTCTCAAAAATCTAAGTTTGTTGCTGGAGGAGCTATGCCACTACACTCTACAGAAAATCAAAAGAAATTACGTTAAAACATACGTAATATCATTTGTTTATTTCAATATACTAATTTTATTCACATCAATCAGTCCAATCTACTAATAAGATTAATGTTAAATGATACTGAGCATATGACCATCACACAGAATTTCATATAAAATAAAACAAAATAACTACTTCCAATAGAAGTGAAAACAAAAACATTTCCACAGAACATTAGTTTTATTTAAGATGTTCTAACTAGAAAAGAAACAAAAATATACAACATAAAAAGCACAACAAAACATGTATTTTTGTCTGTTTACCTCTTATTTTTTTCTGCTAGTTCCTTCAAGGCAAGGGTAATCTCAGCACAGGCCAGAATAGCGCCATGGCGTGTATGAAGGTCTGTGCCAACTGCCAATGGAAGCAGTTTTGGCAGAACTGCAACGAAGTTAACATATGTAACGACAATTGGCATTACTACAATCCCCTCCATGTTGCTAAAATTAAAGAGTAGCATTGGTATTAAAGATCCCTAAACAACAACCGCATTTGAAAAACATGCAATAAATTTAACTAATCACCAAATCCTCTCCAGAAGTACAAAAGCAGAATGTTTAACAAAGTGATGACAACAATTATTTAATTATTATTTATATCTCACTATCATATTAGATACCGCAGACCCCAACCTAGAACTTGCTCTGCAGACCCAGTGTTATCCAATGTCCTCTGCTGCCAACATCCAAAACTCAGTTTTACAACCTCTGTAACCAGCTCACTGACAACAGGAGGTGCAACAACAAAATAAATTGGAGGTGACAGATACAGCTAAGTAGGGGAGAAGGACCCAGCAAACAGCAGAACACGGGTAGGAGAAGAGAGAGGATGGCTGAGAGGTTAAGAAAAAAAAATCAAGGAGGAACATGGAGGCAGAAGAGAGAAGGGAAAAGGAGGGTACAATTTACCTATTTTGCTCTGCTACAGAAAGTTTGCCGCAGTCTCTAACATACAAATATTCTCTAGCAGTCTCTCTTCTGCATTCGTAACATCAAGTTCTTATGGCATTAGTTCCAGAGATTTTAGAGCTCAGGTTTTTGAAACTCACCGACATTTGCCATATATTCAGGGGCCTGTGGAGTGAGATTATGCAGAGCCTTGGTTGAGAATTCTCGAATAACACTGGAAGATTGGAGGAAGGAGGTTAGTGTTAGTCAACTCTTTGCCTGACAGCCAAATTTCAAAAGACAGTCACATTTAATAAGTGTACAAGTACTAAATCTCCAAAAGTTAATGTAATTAAACCTACCCATCCCAGTGGTTGATCTTCATGTTAACCAGGTGATCAATCATGGGTTGTGTATACTCAGGAAACCCAGCAATATATACACTGAGATAAGAAAGATGCACAACATTTACAAACAGAAAAAAAGAACCAATCCAAAAATTATTGCAAAGATATGACCAATAGCCCTTACACACAAACTGAAATATTTTTGCCCATCTTCTGCAATAGCAATACCCTCCCCAAGACTATCCAAGGTTTAACTGTTATAGACCTTTTCTGGAACATCATGCAGCTACAGTAAGTGACAGGGACAAATTTTCACCCTTAGCTGTTGAACTATTTTTTTTTGGCAAAGACAATGAATGAATGAATGAATGAATGAATGAATGAATGAATGAATGAATGAATGAATGAATGAATGAATGAATGATATCTGCCCTCTCTTAGACCTAGCCCGTCACAGGCTTGGAACACTGTGGAAGAAAGTTGAAGAGTGGACTGGCCGTTGCAAAGAGGGGAGAAGTGTTAGTTGTTGAGGACTGAGAGAAGGAGAGACAGGGGGATTGCATTATTTAGTGTAAAGCAGTGGTCCCCAAACACCAGTCTGCGGCCCGGTGTCAGTCTGTGGGCTTCCTTGAACTGGGCCATGGACACGGATCTCCACACCCCCATGCATGCATGCATGGGGACGTTGCGCTTGTGGGTGGGGATGTTGCACTTGCAGGTCGGTGTGTTGAGCTTGCGCGCATGCTCACAAATGTGACATCCCCCTGCAAGTGCAACACACCCACTCACAAGCACAACACCCACCCGCAAGCGTGACATGCCCACCCACGAGCGTGGGGTGCCCTGCCCGCCGCGCACACAGCCCATGCCCCCCAACCAGTCTGCGGTCCAAAAAAAGGTTGGGGACCGCTGGTGTAAAGGGAGCAATGAGGAAGTTCAGAGAAAGATTGGAAGACATACAACTTGTAACAGAAACTGAATGTCTGACAGTAAACCAGACTAGCATAAAGGTACCTATCAATTTTACAAATCTTGATAGTGAGTGCACAAGGGCCTCAGTAGCTAATCTTATCACCAAGTTAAACTTACATGACTATAGCCTCACCCCTACCAAATAACCTGGTCCCATATTTTAAGGACAATTAATTGTAAAGACTTAGACCACAATTTTAAACCAAGTTGGAGTTAAACAAATAATCATAGTCTCAGAAACAGAATTAGATCAGTGTGGTCCACACCTCTGTGCAGTAGCATGCTGTACCTTCTGTCCTATTTTTCAGGGCAGCCCCACACAGAATGCACTCTCACAAGGTAGTCTATATACAACCAGGGAAGTGTAACTGGGATAAAGTTTGTTTGTAGACAAGGTCACAGCTGACAAACTTCAATCTACGGAAGGTACAACTGTGGTCTCAGTAATGAATTCAGGAGGACTCCAAGCTGCAAACTTGATCTTTCAGAAGAAATACAACTCCATTTAGAAGCAGCTGTACCTTTCCATCCAGGCCAGCTGATTCCCCCACCCACAATACATCTATCTCTCCCAGATTACACTTGAGCTTATTTTTCCCATCCATTCTGAAACTGCCTCCAAACATTTGTTCAAGCCTCTCTGGAATTAGCAGATGAAAACAAGAGGCAGCGCTGTCTGTCATTCACGTGCTGACCGATGGTACTTAAGCTGAAACCTTCAGGTGACTTCCCTCAGTAGGTTTATGTAAACATGATACAGTTTCAGAGAGATGATAGAACTTTGCAGCACACCAAAAGCTGGCAGAGTATGAAGTAGAGCACCTCTCCCCCAAATTAACTAATAAGATTGTCCCATTCTCATACCCTGAAACATACAAACAACTGGTCTTTTGTGCCATCGTGCTAATACAAAAGTGAGTGCTAATAAGTGGGACACTGAAGACAAACTGTGTAAAAATATGGAATATTACATTTCCGTAGACGAAGTATTATCATTGGATTACTGCTAAAATAATTAAAACTTGATTAGCAGGAAAAATTAGTAACACTGAAGCCACTGAATGCAGTTCCTCTCATTTTGGTGGAACATAATCATGTACGAAAATACGAATTGCAGCTCTTAGGATGCTGGCTGAAGTCTCAGGGAACCAGTATGCTTCTCAGCCATGGAGAAAAACTAACTGGAATGACTGCATAGAAAATAAGTCAATTGTTACAAGCATTTGGGCCCACCATGCCATTACGAGCAAGGCAAAAATTACAAGCATTACAACTTGTGAGCTTTTCGTGTGCACAAATTCTGGCATCAAGGGTTCAGGCCCTAGAATAAAGCTCTGTGTCAGGTGGCAATGGACCTCCTCAAACACCAACAGTCTGGAAAAACTCAGCAAATGTCAGGTATGTTATAGGTGAGGCCACACTAGATTCACATAGTGGCAATGAGGGCAGCTGCTGCTGGGCACATGTTACTGCTTACTTGAAAATTTACTTACTTAAGTTGCTCAAATTTGCTCTTATTTCCAGGTCATGTTTGCCACATTATCTGATAGGTCCAGTTGTACCACAATTCAAGGCCAATTTAGTTGGAGTCTTCTCATGCAATCAGCTTGTCCAGAAGTTGTTCTAGCGGTCTTCCAACCATTGCCTACCCCCTCTTACATGATATACAAAGATTCACCCCGCGACATCACTGGGACCCTTCCCAGTTTTAGGTTTTGACCCTAAATTTCAGGTGATTTCTAATCTTCATTAGAAATGTAATAACAGAAATACACAGACACTCTTATTGGGTTGCCATGTCAACCCTGGCAACCAAACAAAGGAATCCATTATATGCTTTTGTTATTAAATTTCTAGTGGAAGTGCAGTTCTTAGCAAAAGGTATTTCATTAATCAGATTCAATACTATGAATGCAACAAGACCATTAAAGGGACATTTAAAGAAGATCAAGTCCAACCCCGTGCTCAGTACAGGATTCCAAATCATTGTGACTACCTTCTTTAGTATCTCCACATATAAGGGGAAGGGGGGGGGCTGTTGCTTTCCTGACTCATCATACTTTCTTGTTTTTGTTTAGCTACAAAAAAGGAGTTGAGAAATTGCCTGTATGTAAGAGTAAGGTGCGCACAAAGGAAAACAAAGAGTAAATGAAGGGTGGAATGTGATGGAGTGTAGGTTGAGCATCTTAAAGATGAAAAAAGCAATAAAAAATAAGATAAATCAAGAGCTGAGAAGCAAGAACAAAGGGACATCTTTTCCCACCACAGATACCTAAAACCATCCCCTTTATCATTAGGCATCCTTCAGTCTCAAAAGACTATGGTAACATGCTCTGTATGGAGGACTTGGAACAGCGTCTAGTGTGGCTGAGGAGGCCAATTCGAGAGTGACAATCCCTCCTACACTAAAGACAAATACAATCTGTCCCCTGTCCAGCTCCCTGGTTTTGCTGCTTTTGTGACTTCCTCTTTGCCTCGGCCTGCTGGACAAGGTCTCTTCAAATTGGGAGAGGCTGTGATGCACTGCCTGCCTCCAGGTTGAACACTCAGATGTCAAGGTTTCCTATTTGTTGAGGTCCATTCCTAAGACCTTCAGATCCCACTTGCAGATATCCTTGTATCACAGCTGTGGTCTCCCCCGTGCACAAAGGGTCCAGGACTCACTGCAGTACAGGAGCGTGCTCAGGACACAGGCTCTATAGACCTGGATCTTGGTATATGTCATCAGATTCTTATTGTGTCATACTCTCTTTGTGAGTCTAGAGAACATGGTAGCTGCTTTGCCAATGCATTTATCCAGCTCGACATCTAGAGAGAGGGTGTCAGAGATCGTTGAGCCAAGGTACACAAAGTCATGAACAACCTCCAATTCTTGTGTGGAGATGGTAATAGAGGGAGGTGAGTCCACGCCCTGAACCATGACTTCTGTTTTCTTCAGGCTGATTGTTAGTCCAAAGTCTTGGCAGGCCTTGCTAAAACGATTCATGAGTTGTTGGAGGTCTTCAGCAGAGTGGACAACAATGGCTGCATCATCGGCGAAGAGGAAGTCCCATATGCATTTCAGTTGGACTTTGGTCCTCGCTCTCAATCTAGAGAGATTAAAGAGCTTTCCATCTGATCTAGTCCGGAAGTAGACATCTTCTGTTGCAGTTCCAAAAGTGTGCTTCAGCATGACAGCAAAAAAGATCCCCAAAAGGGTTGGTGCGAGGACACAGCCCTGTTTCACTCCACTTCGGATGTCAAAGGGATCTGATTTTGAGCCATCAAAAACTACAGTGCCTTTCATTCCCTCATGGAAGGACCTGACAATGTTAAGGAGTTGAGGTGGATATCCAATCTTGGGAAGTATTTTTAAAAGGCCATTCCTGCTAACCAAATCAAAGGTCTTTGTGAGATCTATGAAGGCCACAAAGAATGGCTGTTGTTCCCTGCATTTCTCCCGCAACTGTCTGAGGCAGAATACCAGGTCAATGGTGGATCTATTTGCTCAAAATCCACACGGTGATTCTGGATAGACTCTGTCTGCAAGCACCTGGAGCCTCTTCAGCACAACACAGGCAAGCAGCTTCCCTACAACATTAAGAAGAGAGATGCCACGGTAGTTATTGCAGTCACCCTGTCTCCTTTGTTCTTGTACAGTGTGACGATGTTTGCATCCTTCATGTCCTGGGGTATTCCACCTTCCCTCCAGCAAAGACAAAAGACTTCATACAGTTCAGTGGTGATGATCTCTTTACACCACTTCAGCACTTCAACAGGGATGTTATCCTTGCCAGGTGCCTTGCCGGAGATGAGGGAATCCAAGGCTGCTTTTATTTTTGCTAAGGTTGGTTCGCTGTCCAGCTCTTCCAAGACAGGCAGGCACTCAGTGTTATTTAATGCTTCTTCAATTACTACATTCTCTCTGGAATATAGCTCAGAGTAGTGCTGCACCCAGCAGTCCATCTGCTGTGCTTGGTCCTGGATGATCACACCTGTAGCAGACTTCAAGGGAGCAGATTTCTTCTGTATTGGACTTAAAGCCTGCTTGATACCATCATACATTCCTTTGATGTTACCTGTGTCCACTACTATCTGTATCTGAGAGCAGAGCTGAAGTCAATAATTGTTGGAACATCTCCTGGCTGTTGAACTTGGCTACGAGCAGCTTTGAAGAGCTTGTAAATTGTACTCGCTAGGACAGGCTTTGTATGCTGCAAGAGCTCTCCTCTTATCCTCGACGGCTGGCATCAACTCCTCCAAATGGGCTTCAAACCAGTTGGCCATCTTTTTGGTCTTCTTGCCAAAGGTGGACAAGGCAATGTTATACACAGCATTCTTGAAATGTTCCCATCGTTCAGGTGCATTTGCATCAGCTGGACCTGGAAGGGTTTCCTCAAGCGCGTGGGCAAATTCCTCCACTTTTCTTTGATCGTGAGTCTTGCTGATGTCAATACGTGGTCTTCCTTCCTGACCTATACTTCACACATATACAGTTGGCAGAATTCTGGGCAGTACCATTTGAGAATGAAAAAAAAGGACCATATTTTTGACTGCCCCTCATCTAAAACAAACAAAGTTACCATCCTTGAATGCAGTAAATTAAGATATCCAGAAGAGGGCTATGTTAAAACTCCCTCCCTTTCCATTTCTCTGTCTCTCACCACTTCTTCGTATAGATAAATACTTCTTTTACATCTAGCCTTACATTTCCTGAATCAATATTCTGAATGTGATGAACTAGAAACTGGATAACGAACTTCTAGCCGATCTCCTCACAAAAAAAAAAAATACAAATACAGAAACAAAACCAAAAGAACCTTCAGGGAAAAATGCATTTCATTTTGTAGTTCAACAAAGAACATTGGAATTATATCCAATGTCTTCTAACAGTTTTCTCAGGAAGATGTATTACATTCTTCAAAGATTACCCATAGGTAGCATTATGAAAGGCGTTGTGAAAAAAAATGACTAACATATGCATTATAAATCAGGTAAAACATGGTTTTTAATTTATATATAAGAGATTTTTCACCTTATATTTAGGAAGCAGTTAGCTCTGTTACCAACTGCAAAATAATCAGCAGCAGTCAAAATGTCAATTCCGTGTGGGAAAGTACCCTATGGAAAGAAGAAAAAAAATCTTAACATGCTACTTCATAAAAATGATCTGACAAGTTCTTACCACTTCTAACTAGAGTAACATTGTACTCTTTTTCAATATTTCTGTGAAAAAGCAACACTGAAATTAATTCCTAAATTCTTAAGGAAATTTCCAAAGGCTTTTAGATTATTGCAGCAAAAACAACAGAGTCTTGTGGCACCTTTAAGCATAACAAGTTTCATTTGGCACAAGCTCTGCAGACACAGCATACCTACTTCAGATGCACAGAGTCTCTGGTCTTACGTTTATGCTAACAATGACTTTGAACATTTATGCCCAACTGACATTTTCTGCAGCCCACTTCACTCTGCTTCCTCCCTATAATCCTGATGAGTAGCATATAAACGTGTGACTTGAATAGTGTACGCCATAGTCAGAAGATGGGAGCTGTGTCCCCAAGACAAATAATAATTATGTGATGAGAATACTCAGATCTGGTTTACCAGTCCCTTCTTCTGAGCATGTTTTGGGACTGTGCAGTTTGTCCAAGATCACACAGGCTGGCTCTTCTCCTGGGGCACAAAAGTGGGGAATCAGACTCCCAATTAATGTCTACCTCACTGACATATCCAGCCAGCCACATCTACAAAATCTCTTGACAAATAAAACTTGTTAGACTTCAAGGTGCTGTAAGAGCTCAGGCCACGGACAAGGCACTGGACCACAGACTGGCACCGGGCCATGGACTAGGGGTTGGGGACCTCTGGCTTAAAGGGCATACTTGCCAACAATTAATTACTTCTTCCCTGATCACCCTCTCCTTTTGAAACTAATTTCTCTTCTTGTCTTTATACACACCACAAAGTTATTGTCTCTTCTATTTATCCCCCCTTCCTCATGACATCAAATATTTGGCCCTCCTGGAATTTATTACTGTTCATTTCTTCTTTCTTTCATTGCTGCCTCACAGAATAAGAAATTTAATGCTCACTCTCCCTTCCCTGTTTTTTCAACACCGATAAATGCAATTATAGGCAGCATTTCTGAATCACTGGGGGGGGGGACAGGTCTCTAACTCTGAAGTACACTACAAGGAGTTTATTCCCATCTTATCCAAGCTAAGGGTACAGTCCTGATGTCTTCTGTACATTATACTAGCGTCCCATGCATTTGGAAGTACTAGCACAAGAAAGAGAAGGACAACCATTTTGTAATGACACCTCTCTCTTTCCCTCCTTTTCCTGGGCTGAAACATGGTTGTTTCTTGCAGCCCCCCCCCCATATCTACAGTATACTGTAACATGACTGTACTTATAGAGAACAGTTTTATGTGCTGTCCAGTTGGAAATAACTTAGGGCAACTTAACAGGGCTTTCAAGGCAAGTGAGATATTTAAGGAGTTGTTTTACCCGTTGTACTTCCCAATGAATTTCCATGTCCGAGCAGGGATTCGAACTCTGGTCTCCAGAGTCCTAGATTGTCACTGTAACACTTTTTAAATGTACGCAACAGAGAGGTATCTGGCAAGAGTAGGGTATGTACTTTATATAAATAAAACATATACTCAACATATAAAACAGGCTGTCATATATTTTATGCCATAACCCTCCCAATTTATAGCTACTATTTAATTAGTTCAAAGACATTTTCATGGGGACATTAACACATGTATTTCCAATAAATTTCTGGAAGACCAGCTAATCAAAGCTGGAAGTTTGGGTGTTAACAACACCACTTACCTGAAATACGATGAAGTCACACCAGGGTGTTTACTAGATGATGGGTAGCTTTGCTGTTACTAAAATCTCTGGCGTAAGAATACCCAGAGGGATCTGAACCTCCTACACAGTTGCCAGATTTTGTACACTCACTATCCTGATTCAAAAGTTTCCTTTACCATACCTTTCTATGTATAAGCTATATTTTGAAGAAGCACAACAACGTTTTTTATTTGTTGATGATAATTTATAATTAGAGACACAGGCTAAGCATTACATCCTAGTTAAATATTGAGTATCACAATTTGAGTAAGATGAGAGCCTAGATAGAAAATTCAATCAGCTGGCATAGTGTAGCCTCTTACAATAAAATTGGTTAAAAAATTATCTGAATGATATACTGTCAGGAACAGCCAAAGAAAATCCCCTGGACTGCAAAGAGAACAAAGCTATCCGTTTTAAAGGAAATCAACCTAAGTGCTCATGGAAAGGACAGATCCTGAAGCTGAGGCTCCAATACTTTGGCCATCTCATGAGAAGAGAAGACTCCCTGGCAAAAACCCTGATATTGGGAAAGTGTGAAGGCAAGAGGAGAAGGGGAGAACAGAGGACGAGATGGTTGGACAGTGTCATTGAAGCAACCAACATGAAATTGACCCAACTCTGGTACGCAGTGGAAGACAGGAGGGTCTGGTGTGCTCTGGTCCATGGGGTCACGAGGAGTCGGACACAACTTAACAACTAAACAACAACAACAATGTACCCAAAGAAATATCTGTAACCATGAGGTGAACAGATTATGACACTGATGGGAAGAAGATAGTATGAATTTTCCAACAGACCCATGGAAAGATTTCTAATGTTCAGATTTGTAAAAAATGACAAACCTCACTCTTCTCCCAAAAAATATTGTTGAAATGAAGAAAGCTTGTGCTAGCCAAGAATGGATTTTTGTGTGGAATGATTCTGGACATTCATGTTCATTTCTGGTATGGAATACAAATTCCTAAGTTGAGAATTTTTTAATTCTAATTATTATTTCACCAGACTACACTTGGTGGATGCCAGTTTACTAGTAAGTCAGAAACAGTGGGCACCCCACAAACTATACGTACATCCACTGTAGGGGTTAAACTGCTCTGCTAAAAATGAGAAATGAGGTTGTATTCACAGAATAAAAACTAGGCAAAATTGTACCTTTAAGCAGTCCTTTCTCACAGAATATAGCATCCTAACTAGCATGAGCATGTTCACTGGCTGAACTGGATTATTTTGCCATCTCAGTAAGAAACAGTCAATGGAGGGTGTGGTAAAAGCCACCTCAGGGTGCAGAGACATTTAAGGGAGCGGTTTTAGTTTCAGACCCTGTGGGAGTCAGAGCTGATATTAAATGCAAAAGTTGGCAAACCCTAAGGGAGCAATGATTGAACACCCCAACACGAACAAGTACTGGATATTTTAGAGAGAAAAGGAAAACAAGGACCAAATCTATGGTCAAATGTGGTTGTAGATAACAATAGGAGAGCTCTGGTACACAGAACTATGAATTTAGTTTTACACTACTATGTGTCTTCTTTACAGTGTTTTGGCTACCATATTTTTTGTCAGTAAACCAGCAAATGCTGAGGGTACTGAATAGTACCCAGAAATCTGCAGGGATAAGTGCAAAGTACTACACCTCAGAAAAAGAAACCAATTGCACAGTTACAAGATGGGGGATACCTGGCTCAGCAAAATTACAAGTGAGAAGGATCTTGGAACTGTCATAGATCACAAGCTAAAGATAAGCCAACAGTGTGATGTGGCTACAAAAAAGGCAAATGCTATTTTAGGCTCCATTAATAGAAGTATAGTTTCCAAATCCCATGAGGTGCTAGTCCCTCTCTATTCAGCACTTGTTAGGCCTGACCTTGAGTATTGTGTCCAGTTCTGGACGCCAGACTTCAAGAAGGATGCTAACAACTTGGAACGAGTTCAGAGGAGAGCAACAAGGATGATCAAGGGTCTGGAAACCAAGCCTTATAAGGAAAGGCTGAAAGAACTGGGCATGTTTAGCCTTGAGAAAAGAGAGGAAGTGATATGATAGCACTTTTCAAATATCTGAAAGGCTGTCATACAGAGGGGCAGGATCTGTTCTCAATCATCCCAGAGTGCAGGACAAACAACAATGGGTTCAAATTAATAGAAGCCAGATTTCAGTTGAATATCAGGAAAAAATTCCTAACTGTTAGAGCAGTACAACAGTGGAACCAATTACCGCAGGAGTTGGTGGGTGCTCCAACACTGGCGGCATTCAAGAAAAACTTGGATAATCACCTGGCAGATATGCTTTGATTGTATTCCTGCGTTGAGCAGGGGGCTGGACTTGATGGCCTTGTAGGCCCCTCCCAACTTCACTTTTTTATGATTCTATTCTATGATCTATGTTATCTAGGACAAGTTAGCAATTACATATTGCCAAAATTTCAGTGTAAATCCCCATACGGCTGCTGTAGGTTTTTTAGGCTCTTTGGCTGTATTCCGGAGGTTTTTCTTCCTAACATTTAGCCAGTCTTTGTGGCCGGCATCTTTGGAGGACAAGAGTTAGAATTCTGTCTAAATCCCCATAGTTTCTTGCTGGACAAATGCACTGACATTGGAAAATGTGAGAAAGTCTTTCTATGAAGGATGTTTCTTGGATGCTGTAAAGCAGTGGTGTTACATACAGCACTGATGGTACCTGTCTGTCATGGGTTTGGAGGGAAAGTTCCATCCTATGGGGAGTGGAAGGCGGGACATCAGGGGGGAGGAGCTGTACTGTATATATGTTTGGAGCTTGTGTGGAGAGTGAGGAGTTGGAGTCCGTGTGTCAGACTGGGTACAACTGTGTGTCAGTTGGTACATACCTGATAGGTTCAGGTTTCTTTATAGGTAGCCAGAACTGATAGGTTCAGGGTCTGTGCTTTACTTTAAAGTGTTCTGTGTGAACCAAACTGTTGTATGTATGATTGAGACTAAGCCACGTTACAGTATCTTATTTACTTGATCATTTTATTTACCCTGTTTGTTATTTAAATAAACTTTGTTCTTTTGTTTGTTAAAAATCCATTCCTGGTCTGTGTGACTCCTTATAGGGAATGGTTGGTGGCAGCATAATTAGAGTGTGGCATACTCCAGTAGGTCTGGGGTTGTCACAAGTGGTTCTTAACCTTTGTTACTCGGATGCTTTTGAACTGCAACTCCCAGAAACCCCAGTCAGGACAGCTGGTGGTGAAGGCTTCTGGGAGTTGCAGTGCAAAACTCCTGAGTAATCCAAGGTTAAGAACCAGTGCTGTAAAGTATCAGTTTTACTGGGTGTACTGTACAGAATATTCTAGCTCTCATTTTTTCTTTATAGTCAACACACAGATTATGCCTATTCTCCGCAACAAGGTTTTGCCTCCTTGCCTCCAGACAACTTCATTTAAAGAGATTATTCTCTTTTTCACACACAGATATTAGCTGTGAAAGATGGGTCCACCTACTAGTAAAGTTAAACATATGGTTTAACAATGTATGTTGTCATTTTCTATTGCCATTTGCCAACCATAATTGTTGCTGAATACCACCAGGAACTCAGCTGGCAGGGAGAAATGTTTTATCTCTTCCCACCCCATTTCAAAGTTTCAACTTTGTTCAAATAATCTTTCTTCAAGCTAAGAGATAATTAGTCAATTACAGCACAGGTGAGCAAAGGGGATTTCAAGATCTACTAGAAATTTCAAATGATTTGTAGTAGGTCGGCATTTTAGAACAATTTTAGCAAAGAGTCTTTTCTCCTCCTGAATCGGCTGGTGAAACAAGAAATGTTAGAAAGTAAGGGATTTGTATATGAAAGGATTTGTGCACACACTATGGTTTTGGAAATGAAGGCAGATTCCTGAACTTAAGTTTATACCCAGAGGCACTGATTTATCAATTTTCTGTACATTTTCTTGAACTCCTATTTTGCATCTGATTCTGGCTACTGAATCTTGAGATTCTAGTAAAAGTGAAGTAGATTTTGTAAGTTTAAAACAAGGGTGATAAAATACAATTCTCCCCATAACCCATAGGGAGGTATAGCTGCTGCTACCAAATTGGTACACTTCTGAGGCATAACAAAGGGGAAAAAAACCTAGCAAAATGAGTAGATTCACATTGTCCTCCTGGCCTAAAATATGTCCACTTAAAAATTAACGCTACTTGCAAAGCTTCAGAAGGGAATTCAAATTGAATAGTACTAGTAATGAGAATGCCATACAGATGGTGAAAACGATAGGTTCCCAACTTGAGGACAGGAGAGTTTAACTTCATTGTACTGTAATCCTTTGTGTTAATTTCTACTTTCTCTGTGTGTGTGTGTGTGTGTGTGAGAGAGAGAGAGAGAGAGAGAGAGAGAGAAAGCAGTCCCTCGAATGACAAATTGTGCCACTGGCAGCCATAACCAGTCACTTTCTATTTCTAAAAAGGGCCTATTCAGGCCCAAAACAGGGTAGAGTGATTACATTTAGAGGGGAAACTGCACCCATAGAGGCTTCTGGGAGTGCAATTTGCCATTTAAGGACTAAATTCGTTGTTCAGCTACTAAATGTGCTGCAAAAGGAGAGCTCTATTTATTTATTTATTTATTTATTTGTTTGTTTGTTTGTTTGTTTGTTTGATTTATATCCCGCCTATCTAGTCGGCTAAGACCACTCTAGGCGACTTTAACCTTTGAACATTTTTCCATTTGCACTCTACATCTTGAAAGTTCTAATTTTTGCCTGAGTGGCAAAATCAATATGTTATTTATTTATGAACTTCCACTGACACTTTTCTGAATTGGGATATAGAGTTTCAGAACTCTTTAAGATGGCCTGTGAATTCTTGAAAGTACAAAGCTAAATCTCCACTGTTTCCTAATTCAATTGAATGACTAGATCTGGTTAAAGCCCTGAATTCTTGTATGACCTTCCAACTAAACCAAAACACCACACCCATCTAGGGTGAAGTTTTCCCCTTTATTATTTTTTAAAAGGATGGACGTTCTTCATTTGCTCACTTTTCAGATATGCCATTCAGTCTTTTGTTTGTTTTTTCCTTTTCTCAGATAATAACTGGTCTTAGTTTCCTATTGACATATAAGAAGGCATCACCACACAGCCTTTTGAATTTGCAACTGACTCATTTCTCACTTTCTGAATGAGGGGAGGGGCTGCAGCTCAGTGGTAGAGAACAGACTTTAGGTGCAGAAGATCCACGATTTAATCCATAGTAACTTCAGATAAAGCTAGGAACAAACATTACATGAAACACTGGAGAGTCAGCTAGGCAGTGTTGGAAATCTTGGGTTAACTAGACTAAGGGTCTATAGCTTCCTATGTCCCCTACACACATCCTAACTAAGGGGCAGGCTTCAGTAGAGAAAGTACAACCTGCCTTCTATTTCAATTTAGCAATAAAAATCTCATTTTCTTGACAAGTTTGGTCTATTTATCACTCCCCTAATACCTTTCACAGTCCTCTGTATTACCTAGACCAGTGGTTCCCAACATTGGATAGCCCAAGTATTCTTGGACTGCAACTCCCCTAAAACCTGGCCAGCATAGCTGATCATGAAGGTTTCTGGGAATTGCAGTCCAAGTACATTTGGGTTACCCAAGGCTAGGAACCACTGACCTAGACTAATGTTCCTAAGATTACAAATGCTGCCCCTTTACATTTTGATAAACATGCTAGTTTATGAGACAACTTGACTAGACCAACAACCATCTGTTTTTAGCAGAAAACATACAGAGGGGGGAAAGTCACCTAAAACACTATTAATTTGTTTAATTTATTTTTTTATTTAAAATACGTTTACCCCACATATTTAAAAGGACCCACCACAAATTCTAAAGGTTCTTCCAACATAACAGAGAATGAAACATAATGCATACTTAGTGCATTTGTATTTTTACTACTGTATGTTTTTTTAAACAGACGGCCTGTAATACCTATGAACAGTGGGAGACAATGCTGCCTGTTGCTCAGAAAAATGTTTAATATTATCTCTAAAACGTTTCAGTAGCCAAATGTGCAAGGTAGATTGTGGCTTGGCCTTGTGCTAGAAACCTCATCTACCCATTAAGAGCTCCACGGCCACTATAAAAATTCTGCAAATGCTGCCAAGATTCCCACTATCACGACACACAAGAAGTGGACAGAATGTCCTCCCACACCACAAGGCAGATAATTTTTCTGTTCTTTTGGAGGGGGGGAGAGGACAAGTTTTACTGCCATGGTGGGCTTCCAATGTGAATGCCACAACTTCCACCAATAGGAGCACTCAGGGCAGACAATGAATGCAGGCCTCAAACTCAGTGTGTATATGTGCATAGTCACCAGTTATCACTGAGCTCTTCAGAAAGAAAGAATGTAAAAAGAAAATAGTACAAGGCTATCAAACCTCACACCATTTAAATAAGTTTCTTTTATTTTCTAAATCTATTTTTTTCAGCAACGTGTACCTCTCCACCCACAGTAACAAAGAGCTTTCTGTTTGGTTCCTGAGATTTCCTGAAGAGTAAAACTGATTAATCTAGAAAGCTGTGGTACTGCATACTAGTCAGGTGCACAACTCCACTGACTGGCAAGAGACAAGGAAAGTAAGTGTTGCTGAAAATTAGAGGAAAAAGAACTTTACATTAGCCACCAAGTTGCGCCCTCCCATTTTCTCGACCTCCATTGCATTTATAATTTTACAAAGTTACCTCTACTGGAGAATGGCAAGACCCATAGTAAGAATAATGGAGATATTGCTTCTACTGCTGTTCAGAAATAACTGTGTACATGCAAGTTTCTAAATTAATCTACTACCACCTTTAGGACTGTGCTGATTTGTAGAAGAACATTAAGCTGGAGGTTCGTTCCCAAGATACATCAAACTATCACAATTATGTTTTAATAGGTACACAAGAAATATATCATAATCATTTTGAAATTATTTATTCAAATTTGCCAAACCTTCCCTCACTTCTACAAATGACAAAATGCCTACACTTAATTTTATGCTACAGTAGATTTACAAGAAATTAAATGATGAAAAGGCTTGTGTTTTTTTCTTAGTTACCGTACCTGTCTACCAACATTCTCCTGGAAGGCAGCCTAAGAACAGAGAGAACAAACACACAAAAATGAGTCAGGTTTGCTTGCAGATAAACAGCAGATCATGAATTCAAAACAAACATGCAGCAATATAAATGACCCATGGGCTTTATTTTAAAAATGTAAAGTCAGCTTTGTTGGGTGCTTGTGCCCTCAAGGAGTTGTCACTGCTGCTCTATGTGCTAATGCTCTTTTAAATCTATATCTTACACGCCAACAATTTAAGAATGTGTGTTTATTAAAAACAGACCCACCCACAACAGTGCCCTTTATTGCTCACACAAGGCTTCCTACTAGAAAAGAAAAGGCAATGCCCTTAGAATGTAAGTACTGAGAGAGTGGTTTTCTATGATGCTGCTTCTGGGAAGTTGCCTTGTGCTAAACTTGAAATTCTGCAGATTTGTAATCTGCTTCTCCTCCTTTCATAAACTGTACAGAAGCTACTGGCAATTGTCCAACTGGAGTGGTTTTCCTATACCATTTGTACTTTCATACTATGTTTATGCAAAATGTTTTTATGTAAACCTGTGCTAAACTCCCAGGCTGAATGGTTCCCTTTTTACTGTTATTATTCAGAAAGAAAACATGACACGGAAAGAAGAATAGCACAGAAGTAGACTAGAAGTGAGGACTCTTTACAATGTAAGTGAATTTTCCAGTCATGATGAGGTCTCAGGATGCAGTAGTAGTAAAGAAAAACCTTTGCTTTCTCTGAACATGTGAATTTGAAACATCTGATTAGTTACCATAATTTTTTATTTACATAACTTCTGCACACTTGATTATGTATCAAGTTATGTTAATGGGCCCAAAGGACAGTAATTTTGTTAATGCTGATAGTTCCAGATCTACAGTAGTCTCTGATATGATCATGAACAAGGCAGATAACTACTGATGATACAGAAGTTGGAGCCATATTGATATACTGTACATGTATTTTTATTAGCAGGCATCCATTACATTCTAATCCATAAACAATTTAAGAAGTTCTTCATGTACAGCTTTGACTTTTTTTTGCATGTTTTGCTTTTGTCAAACCCCAAATACAACAGGGTCTGTGATATTTTATTTCTAAGATCATCACAGGACCTTCTTAAATATACAGTCAAGGCATGGACCAATACTGAGAGCTGACATTAACTTATTATCTCATTCCCTATAGAAAACTGACTGGGAAACATTTTAAAAACAGACTGAACAGACTATTTGTTGCATTTGTCCAATCTTTGTGAAGATAAAACTATCTAATAAATTGTGCTTACACCTGGAGAGAATGCCTTTAATGCTAAATACAATTATTTAGGAAAATACTGCAAACATACCAAAACATAACGGACAGTTTACACTAAATATACTGGATTCATGAGCACTCCCACTGACCTCAGTAAAGCTTACATGATCTAAAGGTTGTGTAAAAATGTTTCTCTTGAGTGATTATTGCTGAATGAGACTGCAGCAATGATCTTGTGCTGGCTGAGCAAAGGGTTTTTAAATGTTTTTATTAAGTAAAACTGTTTTACCCCTCCCTTAATTCAGAAATACCATGCTTCTTGATCTTGTGCTGGCTGAGCAAAGGGTTTTAAAATGTTTTTTATAAGTAAAACCGTTTTACCCCTCCCTCAATTCAGAAATACCATGTTTCTCCAAAATTAAGACCTAACCTGAAAATAAGCCCTAGTATGATTTTTCAGGATGCTTGCAATATAAGCCCTACCCCAAAAATAAGCTCCAGTTAAGTGAAACTCCACCCTCCACCATTGTGCAGCAACCAGAAGAAAATGAGTGGACTGTATTTGAATAAATGTAGTTGTACATGAAAAAAATAAAACATCCTCTGAAAATAAGCCCTAATGCATGTTTTGGAGCAAAAATTAATATAAGACTCTGTCTTATTTTCGGGGAAACAGGGTAGGCAATCCTAAATATCCTCAGATTTAAAACAGATCACATGAATTAAAAAGATCATTTGCTTATCCTGAAAGAGACTGGTTGGCCTCACACATTTTTGGGGTAGAAAGAATCCAAGCTGCAAAGGCCATTCTCAAAAAAAAGGCCATTCAAAAAGGAAAAACCACTACTCTGTCATAAGACTGAGCATACAGGCTAGCTAGTACGAGCTTTGCTAAATGAAACACCGTATATATGGGGGTGGGGGGAGAAAGACGTTTAGAGAGAAAGGTCACAGAACAGACTGAAAAGACAGGTTTTCTTTAAAGAGTTAAAAAACATGTTTGCTTTACAAAAGGTAATGAAGTGACAGTCCTACAGAAAGAGGAATATTTTGTCATGTATCTACCAGAACCAGGGGACATCCACTCAAACTGAGTTTTGGGAGAGTGAGAACAAACACCCAGCATGGTGTTAGTCTGTGGAACTCCTTGCCATACAATGCACTGATGGCATCATGCCTAGATACCTTTAAAAGGGGATTGGATAGATTCCTGGAGGAAAAGTCTATTGCAAGTAACAAGCCATGATGGGGATGTAGAATCTCCACCCTAAGATACAGGAAGCTGGACTAGATGGGCCCTTGGCCTGATCCAAGAGGGCTCTTTTTATGTCCTAGTAATCTCAGGATTTTAGATGGGCCCTTGGCCTGATCCAGGAGGGCTATTTTTATGTCCTTATGTTCTGTAAACATTCTCTCAGGATTTTTGAGATCAAACAGTTCTCTGCATAAATTTTCAAAAGGGAAACTTAGCTCCACTTATGGGTCAATCTGAACCATTACCTAACTCTTAGCTAGCTTTTTAACTCCTTTCTGGCCAAACAGACTTATCAGAATCATGTTTACCAGGGGATTCTGTGTCTGGTTGTATAAACGGAGACACAAAAAATAATTTTAAAAAAATAGAGAATAAAATATACAGGATGTCCTCTTGTACTCAATACCATATACAGTGGTGCCTCACATAACGAGCGCACCGTTTAATGACAAATCCGCATAGCGATGCGTTTTTTGCGATCGTTTTTACGATCGCATTGCGATGTTTTAATAGCCTAAACATCGCATTGCGATGATCGGTAAGCGTTTCGCTTACCGATCTTCGCATTGCGATGTTAGGGAAACAGCTGATCGGCTGTTCCAAAATGGCCGCCGGATCAAGAAAATGGCCGCCCGCAGTGTTTTCGCGCCCTGCCCTCACTTACCGAGGCGGCAAAAATGGCGGCCGGATGAGGAATCTTCGCTTACCAGTGAGTTTTCCCCCCATAGGAACGCATTAAACAGAGTTCAATGCGTTCCTATGGAGTTTTACGTTCCGTTTAGCGATGTTTCCGGATAGCAACGTTTTTCCTGGAATGGATTAACGTTGCTATGCGGGACACCACTGTACAAAGATACATCAAGCATGGGAAAATCCCAGAATCCTTTTTTCCATCGATTCCAAGCAATTGTCTGGGCTATTGTTCAACAAGTTTTCTAGCCATCAATTAACCACTTCTCACCCAAACACCAAGTAATTGTCTGGGCTATTGTTCAACAAGTTTTCTAGGTATCTATTGCTTGGAGCCACAAAGCAATCAAAATGCATAAAAGAAATGGTAGTGAGCGTAAGAAGGTATCCTGTTTAGGGTGTCCAGTGGTTTCCCATTCCTGGGTCCCCAGATGTTCTTTGATTACAACGCACAGAAGCCTTTACCGCTAAATATGCTGGCCAACATTTCTAGAAATTGTAGTCCAAGAACACCTGGAGACTGAAGGTTGGGAACCACTCCTTGATTGCTGACATTCAGTTTGTCCTTTGTTATTTAAAATCTGGCATTCTTTTGCTTGCTGGAAACCTTGTCATGATATTATACAGTAATACAGGGTCATTTCTTATTGGAAACCTTGTCATGATATTATACAGTAATATAGGGTCATTTCCTATTGTTTTGAATTGTGGACACAGAAGCACAATATCCCACAATAATAAAATGGAGGATTTTATAAGGACTTAATCTACAAATTTACATGCACACACAAATGCAAAGGAAGTATTTCTACTACCAGTTTGTGGTTGATGGTAAAAACTGAAAGATTTTTGCACTAACTCCTTGCACTATAATTTTAAAAAGTCTGAACAATGACAAATAAAAATATGTCTTAAGAACTGAGGTAACTAAATTATAGTCAACTGTACTTACCTATTAAGCTTGCCATAGTAAGAGTAACTGACACACATAATTTACACCAAACAATGCAAACTGCTTTCGTATAAACATTTTCTACCATTAAAAGGTACTGCAAAGATGACAAGCTTAACCTACTTCTACATCTTCATAAAGTTAGTACAATTCCCACAAACTTCAAAAGTAAACTGGGCACATATCTTGGGGCAGTTCAATATATTTTTAATTTCATAATACAGCATGCCCACTATTTCAAATCAACCAGCCTTAAATTACATGAATTATACTCATTAATTTGTTCTACTCTCTGAAAATAACTTTTAAAGAAAAAGGAATTCAGCAAACATACAAATCTATTCCAATATGTAGATTAAATTTGAATGAAACCATGACTTCACTGAAAAGGTGAATAAGGAACTTGGGTTACTAAATTAATCTTTCTTTCTTTTTAGTGTCGAGTCATGTTAAATATGTCTTAGCTTGAACTCCTGGTAGATATCCAAAATGCTAGTGGCTACTCATTTCTGCTTTCTATCTTGTGTTATGTCATGGGAAAATGGAACATTAATTTAAACTAATCCGAATAATAGCAACCCTTTAAGTTACTGATTTCTGATGTAAAAAAATATTTAATCATTGCTAACAGAAAGAGACAGGGTCTACCTTATAAATCAAATTTATAAGCTATATATACGTATCACAGTATCTAATTATACAGTCATGGCCAAAAATATTGGCACCCTTGCAATTCTGTCAGAAAATGCAACCCTTCTCTCAGAAACTGTTGCAGTTGCAGATGTTTTGGTACTCACATGCTCATTTCTTTGGTTTGCGTTGGAACAACAACAACAACAAACAGAGAAGAAAAGTTAAATCTGATACAATTC